TTGTGAATTTATATAATTTAATTTTTAACGATGGCTGTGTTTAACAAGTTTGTGAAATTCCTAAAAATTTAGCAGTTATTTTTTATGAACCTGTAGGAACCAGCACCAGTGTGAAACACTCTATTATGCTTCAATTTGTCCATAGTACTGTTGCTGAATTTTTGGGTTGTTATTAAATTTTGGCTATTATAAATAAAGCTGCTATGAATATTGGCCTATTTGGTGGCTGTATGGATGCATTTCTATTGGTTGTATACTCAGGAATGGAATTTCTGGATCTTAAGTTATATAAGTTTAATCAGCTTTGGTAAATAGTGCCAAAGAGTTTTCAAAAATACTTGTATTAATTTATACACCCACCAGCGTTGTATAAATTGCTCCGCACCATCACCATTTTCTACTTTTAGCTATTCTGATGGGTTTGTAATGTCTTATTATTGTTGGTTTAATTTGCATTTCCCTAATGAGTAATGATGCTGAAAATCTTTTCATAGGTTTATGAGCCTCTTGAGAAATTTTTTGTTAAGTGCCTGTTGAGGCCTCTTGTCCACTTAAATTTTTTTTATCACTTTGTAGAATTTTTTAATATATAACACATGACTAATTTGTCATTTATTTGTTTGCAAATATCTTCTGGCACTTTCTGGGTTAGTTGTTCACTCTGTTAATGGTATCTTTTGATAAGCAGAAGTTCTGAGGTTTAATGTAGTCCAATTTATCAATATTTTCCCTAATAGTGCTTTCTGTTTTCTGTTTAGGAGATACTTGCCCACATCTAAGGCAGAATAAATTCTGTTTTCTTCTGGAAGCTTTATTGTTTTGTCTTTCATATTTACATCTTGAGACAACTGGTTGGGAATATGCAGTCCACATCTATTTCCCAGGCTATAACTTTAGCACTATCATTCAATTTAGCACTATCTTCAATTCAACATTGCTCAAGTAACTGCTATTTCCCTCACCGCAGCTGTGATAAGAAGTAGCTTATGAAACTAGTGGGCCATACAGACTTGTCCAAGATGATTATGATATGAGGCTCTGCACCAATGAATTTGGACTTTGAATGGAATCCTAGTGGGTCACCCCAGGTTCTTGCCTTGTTTACCTGTGGCAGAGCCCCTGCTCGTGGAAGCTCCCTTGCTATTTGTCTTTCTGTTGCCACTCTTCTATGGCTCTGAGACATTCTTCTGGCTTTTCTCTGGCTTCACTATTTTTCGAGTATCATAGCAGGAACTTGTGTTAAATGAGGTCTGAATGAGAGTGTGTTCTCCTTTGCATTGCGTGATATAATCTGTGAAGGCTTCTGTCACTAAATTATTTAGGTGGTAAATTTCTTTCTATTTGGAAAACATTTAATCATCTTCTTTCAAATGATCAAACACCACTTTTAAAAGATCCAATTTCATCATTTC